ACCACCACCTAGCTGAGGCAAACTAAGTTCAACTTTTCAGAATAACTTTCAGTGCCCAATATGCAGAAACCACAGGAATGATATTGTAATTTCATATCTTGTTTCTGTGTCGATCTAAAACAGAATTCACCTTTAAGGATGTGGCAACTGAGTTCAGCATTAAAGTTATAGTAAACCTGTCATAGAAGTATGGGAGCTGCCATTGGTGTTCTCCTTCTGAAAATGCCAAAAGTCTGGTTTTAAAGGTGACCAACTGTGTTCAATGCTTTCTAAGGCTCAGTCACACAATGTGCGGTGTCTGGTATTTTTTAGCACCTGATCAATGCCAGTCACCACAAAGGCACGTGAAACAGAAATTGTTTTCTATGTACACTGTTCACACTACAATGCTGCCTTGAGGTGGGTTGCAGTGCAGTGTGAAAATTTGCAAACATGCATTTTTCCATACTGTGCATCACCTCATGTTGGTGCCGGTCACCGCACCACAGCTGAGCTGTAGTGGATACATACTGTAATAATGAAATATCATTTTGACATTTCACTAAAGTTTAAAAAAAAGAAAAGAAAGAAAAAAGTTAAACGGTTTCTTGCTTTGTAACATAACACACTGACCTCCCCAACGATGGCACACAGTGGACATCAGACCGAATACTAAAAAGGGTAATTTTAGTGTGCGGGTTGATTCAAATAGGCCTTTAATCACTGGCTCAGAGCTAAGATCCAGATCAGATTATACAGATGAACACTTCGGACTCCTCTTTTGACACTTTGTCTGAATCAGTAATTCAGGAATTAGGAAAGTACAAGAGCCAGCATAACAGCAGGGGCAGGGACCATTTTCCTTTAATGACAGGTTTTCTTTAAAGCCACGTTCACATTGAGCTATTTATCGTGCGGTAATTCCCGCAATATCGCGGCAAATTACCGCGCGATATCGCGCTCCAATGCATTTCAATGGGGCAAAGGGTCCTGCTGTCGCGGGTCGTGTGTCGCTACAGCAGGACCCTTTTTGGAGCGGATTTAGCCGCGATTCAAGCTTGCTCAATGCAAGCTTGAACGCGATATCGCGTGGTAAATCTCGCGATATCGCGCAATATGCAAATCGCGCGACAAACGTGTGATTTGCATATCGCGCAGTGGGAACGGGCAGTAAGCTGTCACTGCTATACTACAGTGTGGGAACATCTCATTACTGGAGTTTGAAAAATCTGTAAGGATCCAGTATAGGAATCAACACCCAACATCCCCCAACTCCCCACACCCCTGAACCTCATTAAATAATGGGTCAACCTTCAAGAATAACTTCATTCAAAATGGTTCTTTTTCTTTAGGTGCAGTTATTCTTGAATGGTGACCTCTTATTAATTTTTATCCTACAAACCTACATTTTTTTAAATGTACAGACAGGAATGTGTGTTTCCTTTGTTTTCACTAAGAGGATGTATCTAATATCTGTAAAAATCTTCAATAAAAGATGGGCTAAAAATGACCTACACTTTGAAGGATGAGTGGGACCTTTGTGCCTGGTTCTTTCTTCTGATCTTGTTCCAACAAAGCAGATAGAGGTACCCGGAAAACTCCAGTCTCTACATAAGACAAACCACATAACATTTTAATACAGCTTTCCAAACATGTATAGTATATACATGTAAAATGCCAACATTAAAATGACACTCCACTCTGGAGTTAAACCTTAAAAACGCATTCAAATACCTTAGCAAAAATGTATGTTATTTGTGTATCACTCAGCTGTATATCCTCCAATCATCTCTGAATTGGTGCTGACACTCTTCTTTCTTCTGGAGGGTGGCTACTTTGGTTCCCTATGCTCCCTGTGTGTGTTGTAAAGTAGCCACCCCTCCAAGCCCATTCCCGTGATGGACTACAATCTCAATACAAATTAGCAAACTAAATGTGAGATTGTAGTCCATCATGGGAGTGAGCTTGAAGCGGTGGTTACTTTACCACACAGGTACTATGGGGAACAAAAGGAGCCACCCTCCAGAAGGAAGGACAGTGTCAGCACCAATTCAGAGATGATTTGAGGATCTACAGCTGCATGATACACAAATAAGATACATTGTTATTAATAGTTAGGGTACTTGAATGCATTTTTATGATTTAGCGCCTGAGTTTAGTGTCACTTTAAAAACTAACATCTAAAAAAACAAATAGGCTGAAGAGAAATATAACTTTCATTGTAAGGCTGTCAGATGGGCAACTCTGACACTAGCAATCCTGACACTGCTGATTTGTCACAATCGCTAGCAGCAGGATTTCTAAGAGGCTGCCTGTTTGTCCCTATGAAATCTCTCCCTCACTCCCTCTGTAGCGGAGACGGCGAGAACTTGCTCCCATCGCTAACGTTAGAGATTCATCTTGCATCTGGCTACTGAGGGAACGATTACAGACAAGCAAGCCTCTTTATTGCAATCTAGTCACTGGTGAACTATTTCTAACAGTAGAATCACCTGTCTGACATCAGCCTCCACCAAACCTTTCCCAATGTATTAAATAAACATATAGCATTTGGACAGGGTCACTCGACTAAAATATGTACCTATATGACAATACTGTGAAAGCCCATTACGATTACAGGACCAGATATACACCAATCAGCTATAACATGATGACCACACACCTAATATTGAGTAGGTCCCCTTTTGTCACCAAAACAGCCCTGACCCGTTGAGGCATAGACTCCACTAGACCTCTGAAGGTATGCTGTGGTATCTGGCACCAAGTTGTCAGTAGCAGATACTTTAAGTTCTGTAAGTTTCCATGACCCTGTTTACCGGTTTTCCTTCCCTGTACCCCATTGGGTAGGTCCTGACCACTTCAGACCAGGAACATCTCACAAGAGCTGCAGTTTTGATGACCCAGTCGTCTAACCATCACAATTTAGTCCCTGTCATAGTCACTCAAATCCAATACATTAACTTCAGAGACAAAATGTTCACTTGCTGCCTAATATGTAACGCAAGGTGCCATTATAACGAGATAATCAATGTTATTATTCACTTCACCTCTCAGTGGTCATAATGTTATGACCTATCGATGTATATGTGAAGTTGTCAGTGGGAGAATACTATTATTGCAATTAAACAACAAATACTACATTCTTTGATTAAAGTATATGTAAATCTAATTACTATGAAGTGGCAGTGCATAGGCAGGACCAATGTCAAATAATTTTTGATAACACTAACCTTTAACTTTTACTTTTGCAGCTCTTTGAAATTTAAGGTCTGTATTTAGGACATCATACAGTGCAGTCAGCTCGATGAGCGCTAGAGAAGTCACCTTTTTCATATCCTGCGGGGCTAAGTCACCAATCTTAGTGATTCCAGTTTTATCTTGTGGAAATCTGAAGTTCTAAGAAACAGGACACTATCAATTATGTGAGAGCCCATTTTGTCAAGAACCATGCCATTAATAAATAAATAAGAACAAGGCTTAGTATATTAGTTGAGATCCCCGAATCATAAAGGCTGCTCTATATCATGAATAGCATTACAGTGCATAGTCTGAAAATCTCACTCACAGCCTGAATTGTTAGAAATATTATTAAATCTATGGTAAAACCCCAACAATGAAGTTTACTTATTTTCCCCAGATTGGTCTTTTAAATATACCAAACATTCCAGTTATTTGTTATGATTGCAAAAACTACCTGTTTATCCTGCCAAAAATCCAGTGAGCATGTAACTTACTGTGCATCAGAACATATCACTGATATGCACCGATCCTCCGCCGCTCAGCAATGCACAGAGCTCAGCCTGCAGCTTTTCCTCTGAATCCCCGCTGCTCTGCCCAGCCTGTATGCAGCGGGGATCCGAGAAGAAGTGAAGGAAGCCCTGAAGCTGGTAGGAGGGGCGGAGCAGGGAGCCGCTGTCACAGCAGCATGGCCGAGTGCTGAGGAGAGAGGGGGCCGCCGGCTGTCAGATTCCTGGTTGTTCTCTGGTGCTATTACTTGTTACTGGTCACTCATATAGGACCTTGTGCTACTGTTACAAGCTAAGGGAGAAATCACCGTCCTCTATTTTTGATTACTCGGGTATCCTGCAACCCTAACCCTCTCTCCTAGTTGCTAATGTGCAATAAATGCTAAATAGACTCTAAGACTCAAGCCTGTTTCTATGCTGAAGTGTCGGTGTTGCTGGAGCTGAGAAAAGGGCCGGGGGCTGGCAAAACAGGTAGGAGAGCCCTAGTTCATATCCAGCGGCTCCTTCGGGGGTGAGAGCTACAAATGATTAAGGGTTATTGTGCCAGAATAAATAGGTACATAGAGTAATTACCAAGAAACCCAAATTACAGTAATACTGCAAATGTTCTTCACATAAATCCTAAAAGGTAATCACATAGATATGGGCACATATTGAAGACAAGAGAGTCATAAAAATCATGAACACAACAAGATGCACTGATGTAGAGACTAAATAAAAAAGGGGAAGATGTTCTCATAAACAGCGCTGTTCCTCACATTATAACTCACAGTTTTATGATAATTAGAAAGCTTGATAGAATAATAGAATCTTATATTTAGCATTGGAGATAAGAGTACGTTATACATCATTCTGGTAAGTAAAAACAACTGCAACAGATATGGAGACACCTGCACAATAACTAAACAAAGTTCACTTTTATAATTTGCAATTAAAAGTATAAAATTAATATAACTAAAATGGTTATAAACAAAACACATCAGCCAAATTATTGCCCAAGACTGTGAAGTATGAATTGCTATAATAGAATTAAAGAGGACATACTACTTTATTTAATACACAGTGATGTATTATTAACCTAGATATTGAGATTACATAAATTATACACAACATATATTTTGTATACTGTATGTGGAATGAAAACCTGATAAGCATACTTTTTGCACAAGGTAGCCACATTGAAACAGATGTGAGCCGCTAACAGTCAAGTACCGACTCCATAGGCACTTGCGAATGGAAGATTCTGTTTTAAAGTGTAAATGGATTAAATAATTCTACATACTTGTTGGGGTTCCAGAAAAAGGTATAAAGGAAGCACTGGATGAAGCTCACATTATTGCTGAGAAAGAGGTTTCGGTATTATGGCACAGTAACACGCATTTAGGCACTTTCAGAACATAAAAGGGCAACTCACTGGTAAAAAAGAGTCATCTTCCTTCTCATTTCTAACTCCAGGAAACTCTTTGACATTGGAAGCCTGCTCGGCAAATGAAATCTCCAGATTGATGTCAGTTTCAGGAAGAGGGACATCTTCAGCAGGGCTTGTCTGTTCGTTTGTATCTTGAGGTGGTATACTACCTAGATCATCTGATACATCAAAGATTTAGTCCGGCATTCATTTTATACATATTACACACATACCTTGCCCCAGTTGTTGATACAAACTCTGGCCACCTGTTCAAACATCTGCCAATTAATATTGGCAATACAGTGGAAAGACATTACTATTGTCCAAGTAACAACATCTTCAATGACCTGCATAGCTGTGCAGGAAAGAATCCTGTCCTTCCACCTGCAAGCCTTTACTTCACAAATCAAGTTTCACTTTATCCCAGTGGGTTCATGTCAACTGTGATATCACTTTTAAGGTAAATAAGCTCTCTGCATGGCACATTTTCCATGGTACTCAATTGCCATAGGATAGGCACTTCAGGATAGTGACCTCCCTTTAAAAAAAATAAAAAAATAAAAATACTAGTAGGAGTCCTTCCCTAAGGCCTCACTTACACAAGCAGCAAAGGGGCATTAAAAACAGGCAATCGATCTGTGTTTTTACTGCCCCCGACCAGAGGTACCAGTTACCAATCGTGGCCATTGTAGTCAATGGGGCCGCACCGAAAACTGCAGTATTTTAATGTAAATTCCTCCATGGAAGAAAAAAAAAAATAGAGGGGAAAAACAGGCAATTCGGGAGGCAGCAGTATCGCCTCCTGAATGCCTATTAACTGGCTGTCAACCGCACCCCAAAAGACTTTCAAGCATTATGCTTTTCAGAGGGGCAGTGGAGTCTCCTGCCCATGTAAACAAGGCCTAACTGATTGTCACAGTTCAGTGGCTTAGGTATTCCTCAGGTCAGAGGAATCCCTTCATATAGCATTTTTAAATAGGTTTATTTTAACAGGGCATTTGGGCAGTTGTCATTACCCATGACACTACTTCCTCACTGTGGGGAAGTGATCAATGTTTGCCATTGGAATTATTTGCAGTTACACCCCTGCTTCTGCAGCTTGACCCCATACTCACAATCCTTAAGGGCCCATTTACATCTGTGTGCTTTGGTTTGAATGGCATTCATTTTGAATGGCACTCCAAAGTGTGCTGCAGTGCAATACAGATTGACAGCTCATTATTTTCCATGGGCTGCCTCAACACAATGAGCATTAAACACATTAATCTTTAGTCTTAACTAGAAACTATAGTTAAGGAGGGTCAGAGTAAAGTGGGATAGAACACAAAGTAAATGTTTACTGTCTTTTTTATTAAACTGGCAATAAATTTAAGGTCGATGGTTTTTATATGTCTCGTGCTTCTATTACTGTGTTTTAACCCCTTCATGACTGAGGCCTTTTTTTCATTTTTTGTTCTACTTAATAAAGAAGATAATTATAATTTGTATGTTATGCTGTCTTTCTTCAGGGCTCATTCATACCATCTGCGTTTGGGCTGCACTGGCCATTTTTTTCAGCACAGCCCAAACACAAGACAAGGCAAATTCACACCACTGGTGTGCGCTTAAAAAAGTACGGCATGCACCACAATAAGACGCAGTACAACTGCATTGCATTGCGGTGAGCCCAGAGAACATAATGAAATGTAAATTGTGACATTTCACTTAAGTTCTAACAAAAAAAAAAGAAAAAGGAACAGTGTGATGCGGCTTGATCAAGCGCATCGGCACTGTCTGGACACATGTACGGCAGCAGCGGTTCTGTTGAACCCTTACTATGGACATTTAACTGGTCGGAAATGAGACAGATCAGCACCCAAACTAGCACACATGCCAAGCCCTAAGGTTGTAGAGTTGACTGACCTGGAGTGGGGTTACTCCATTCAGCTTCTAGAGGTAAGAAAGGATAGCAGACTGATCAGTAAACAGAAGCATCAGCTGAAAACCCTCTTCATGCTTCCACCATCACAGACAAGAACATTATCCCAAAGACTGATGACACAGATCCAATCTAATTATCAGACATACATGTATTCCTTTCATCTCTCCCAAATCATTCAAACAGGATAGTCTCTATTTTGAAGTCAACGTCCTGGAACAATTATACAGATCATGACAGTCAGAATAAAGCCAAAAGTCTACATTTGAATACTCTTTATGGGACAGGCACTCAAATAATCAGAACAAGTGGGTCAGGATGATAGCCAGCTAACTAACCCTAGGTAGCATTGGAAGTCTACATATTTCTCTCATGGCTGATCTCCTTTAATTTGGTTTTAGCAACCTACATGAAATAAAGAAAAGAGGCTTCTATAAATATGGCTAATTATTAACCTGCCAATTTTGGCAAAGATTACATTTGTTAGGATGTTTTGTCCTGAATCATACTGTGAGATTTTGGAAAGTGTAATGCATTTTAAACATACCATCTGATTTTTCTTCAGGCTCTTCTTGTACTGCTTCACTTGTTTTGGCAGACTGAAACACATTTAAACCTTCATCCTAAAATGTATACCAAATAGCAATATCAATATCAGCCATATTCCTTCTACTATGGCTCAGTGTAGAGGTGCATAGTGATGAAAACGCAAACATATGGAAACATAAATCAGCAATGTGGTAAGGTATAAACAAAATACTAGATACATGAATAGGAGAAACCAAAATGATTAAAAAAATTAAAAATTTCCTTAACAGTAGCTGAAGTAAACATGTCACAAACACAGAGGTTTCGTTCAGTAAGCATGGCATGTCAAAGTGATCAGTAAATGCAAACATATAGGCAAACAAAGTTTTAAGCAAATCTTAAAATTTCCTGTAGCATTTAAACCTGGACCTCACACCCTCCAGCCCCCTGTTGGTCAGTGAGGTTGCCCAGTACATAAAAGGACCTACAGAAAGGCTTCTGTGTTAGTAGAAGGTGGGGCAGTGCCCGACTTTTACAAGATATTTGCAGATAACTTTAGCTATATACTGTATATCTACTGCCTGGGATTTAGGCAGGTTTATTTTAAATGTTCCTGGGAAGTGAGACACTGCACATGGCCCATCATTGGTAAAATTAAATCCTAGACTTACGGCACACAAATGTCACTAGCCAAGCACACGGTTCTGTTGCAGCATAATTAGATTACACAACAAGAGACTTGTGAGCATCTCCTTTAGATCCAACTATCAGCCCTCTCCCACATTAATGCAATATCATTAACATGCTAGATGTAAATAACTGCACAGTTTTGTTATTTGAGATCCCTGCAGGAGAGGAACAGACATGAGAGAAGAATACAGGGCTAACATAGGAGAGCCTATTGGATAGGATGTCCAAAAAATGCCTAAACATAAGCCCTGTATACCGTAGAGTAGGGTATAGATAACCCTGGAGCTCAGTAAGTGAGCATAACTTAAGGAAATGGGCACCGTATACTATAGAGGTGTCAACCAACCTTGAGGTCTTTCGACATACTACCATATTCCTTGATTTTGGGAAATCTTTAATAACACCTGCTCATCAAGTGCCATGTTATGACTAGAGAGCCAACGGGCACTGCATGTCAATAAAGAAAGCCAGTCAGTTGACACGATGCCAAATTCTAGAAGTTGTGGCCTCAGGCTAATGCAGCTCCATACATTCTCACTATCCTACAAGCACTACCCTCCAATAAATGGTCCTATGCAAATAAGGCCCAGCCTGAATTTTACAAACTTTCTACTATGCAGAGTAGGGGGTGAAGAATAACCCTGCTGCACCCAAGTACAGAGCTCATTAGGAGCTGTATGATCCAGAAATTAAAAGAGGAAGGATAGATTCTCCACAAATGCATAGTAAGGAGAATTCACATTTATAATGCTGCAGTGCACATGGTCATATGAACAACATGCCACTATAGATTTGGCTATAACTTTGTAATGTGTATGTATTTTTTAAACAGCTCTGACACAGAGGAGCATGCTATTTAATTAACAGTTGCTGTACTGAAATGGGCAAATCATTATTTTATCAAGACCGGTGGCTTTGAGATGAGTACATTTCAACAACGACAATGATATTGTTATTAGTTCATTGATATGGATATGTTTTTAACATTGGCGGTAATGAGTTGAGCGTTTTATTAAAGCGGAACTACAATCTCCTATTCCTTACAGTCAAGGAAAGTGCAATCTAAGCCTCTATTGGGATTGCAGTTAACATGGTGCTGCAAATGTGATTAGCGATGACATCAGCCATTTGAGAGATTGAAAGTTCGATTGAGAGCTGAAATAAGCACTCTGGCAACCTTGACAGTTGGCATGCATTGAACGTAACGGTTTAGGGAGGCTATTAAATTGGTGGGTCTAGTTCTGCTTTAATGCCTTCTTGTAACATAAGTTAATATCTAGTATACATACTCACATTCAAGGATGTTCTTCAAATAAAAGGTTCATGGTGGCTGGAGAAAAGGAAAAGTGGAAGTTTTGCCCACTGACAAATCACTGTGTGCTATCATTTCATGAACACTGTTCTAATGTGATTAGTTGCAATGCACAGCACAGACAGCCAGTACTATAAACTGATAAAACAGAAGTTCTTGCATCATTCTGTAAAGTTTTACAGTTGAACACCACTTCTAAAGGGTCAAATCAACTTTATTGTACAACACAAGCTTGTTTCAAACCCTGCTGGGGCTTAATCATTTAGAAAATGACTGCACTATGATTAAGGCCCAGTATGGGCAAAACATGCCAGAGGGAGGGTCCAGAGTGGAGTGTCTGTACTTGAGCTGAACAATGAAGTTGATTTTACCCTTTCCCAGTGGTGTGCTGCTCCAGAACTTTGCTGAATGGTGTGTGAAAGGAATGGACCCTGCAGGGGTAGGTACCTGCGAGCTGAAGACTGCAAAGGTCTTAGGAGTGGCTTCATAATTTGGCTTCATAATTTGTGATTACTATTTGTGATTACTAAGTGTTTGCATCAATGCATTTCTTCGATTACCAGTTATTTTCACATATAAAAGTTGCATACATATGTAATTCCAAATTAAAGTAGAAATTCAAAAAAAAACTAAAACTTTTTGGTTATAGTGCTAGAACCACTATCAAGCCTTAATTTTCTGTGTTTACTGGGCATATTTCCCCTCACTTCTGGTGTGGTTACTGGTTCACAGAGTTAATGGAACCTGTTCAATCAAGACACTAACAGGAAAAAGAACACATTTTAAGTAAAGTAGGGTACAATTAGAACCTCTGTTCGATTTCACTGGTCTACAAGGAGAAAGCCTCGGAAATGAGAGTAGCTACATTTTACCAGAATTGGCTCACTAATAAAGGAAAATTAATTGGCTCCAGTTTCCAAGATACAGCTTTAAGTCAAAATTGCATCAAAATAATTCAAAATTATGAGGGGGATGTACGATTATGCTTCATAACTTTTCTGCAAAATGTGATATAGCAATGAGAATGGTGCCACAACAATCATTATAAATGTATGTTTTTATTGATACAAATAACATAACTTTCCATTCATTTATTGGTTTTCATGTAACATTTTCATGCTTTTTGCATGAAAAACTGACAAGCACTAATATCAGATTAAATGACAAGGTTCCATCTTCCATCTTCGGTATGTAAAATGCGCTTTTTGGCTTTTCTCTTGTGAACTGCAGTAGGATCATCCCTGGAGAGATTCCAGCAGTAACCGGCAAGCATGGACGGACTCCATTTCCCTTGGTATCTTTTCTCCATGCCTGAGGTATCCGGGTGGAATCTATCCCCATGCTCATCACCTACTGCCCCTCAGTTCAAAGGGAAATAGTCTAAATGCGAGTGTAAGAAGTGAATTTTCAGTGACATTTTTGCACCAAGTGCTTTATAGGACCTAAGCAAATGTTCCATGTGTTTTTCATAGACATCAGCCTTCCTGTTCTCGAGAAAATCCGTTGCCACAGGCTTGAAGGCTTCCCATGCCTTCTTTTCCTTGCCACGCAACAGACAATCAAACTTGTCATCTCGGAGAAGTTCTCGAATCTGTGGACCGAAAAAGACACCTTCATTGATTTTGGCTTCACTGAGTCTTGGAAACTTTTCCTAGAGATATTGGAAACCTGGTTTTGTTTTGTCCATAGCCTTTACAAAGTTCTTTATCAGCCCCAGCTTTATATGCAACGGTGCTAACAACATTTTCTGAGAGTTTACAAGAGCTGAATTTTGAACATTACATTTTTCTGGCTCCCAGGACGGTTGTGATAGCCAGTCTTTCATGACATAATGAGAATCTCTGGCTTGACTGTCCCATACATAGGAAACAGCAGTACTTTGTGTATCCACTTTGCAGGCCAAGCAACAGGGCAACAACTTTCAAATCACCACAGAGCTGCCACTGATGTTCCTCATACTTTATACACCTCAGCAGCTGTTTTATGTTTTTGTATGTTTCTTTCATGTGAACTGCATGTCCGACAGGAACGGACAGCAAAACATTGCCATTGTGCAATAAAAAAGCTTTTAGACTAGTTTTAGATGAATCTAGGAACAATCTCTATTCATTTAGATAGTGGGTAATGTTAAGGGCTGTAAGAGGTTCCACTGTTGTAATCTGGAGCCTAGTAGCTTTGCCTTACTCTTAGGCAATTCAAAATCCCTGACCAGGTCATTTAGTTCACTCTGTGAAATTAGATGTGCTTCAGGAGGCGCATACGGTGGGCTAAAGTTTGGGTCCGCTGGCCCCAGATCAGCTGCATCCTGCTCATCATCTTTATTATCATCTGAATTTAGCAAGTAGGATTCTGGTGGATCTGGAATAGGCAAGTCCTCACAATGGGGTACAGGAGGCAGTGCAGATGGAATGTTTGGATATTCCACGGTCCACTTCTTTCTTGAGATCCCTTTCGCAATTGGGGAACCATGCAAAAATAGCAGTCGCTACTGTGATTGGTGGGTTCCCTCCAAACCATTGGGACTTCAAAAGGCATGGATTTTTCTTCTTGTTTAGCCAATGATGCAGATAAGTTGCAAATGTAATGCAGCAATAATGAGGGGCCCAACTCTTGTCCTGATCCCCTATTTTAAATCCAAAATGTAGGTGGTATACCTTTTCTACCACTGCCATCATACTGCACTTCTGAGATGTAAATGTAACCTCGACACAAATGTAGCAGAAGTTATCTGTGTTGTTTACAGTTTCGAGGCATCTTGGGTTCTGAGGGAAACTATCACGCAACTGTTCCTTGGAAATGTTAGGCACTGACACTTTCACAAGCACCAGATGTAACTGTATGATGTGTAAATCTGACCAAGACAAATGTACCTTGCAATAAAAGAACAATAAATGACAGGTAATAATCTTTAGTCTCAAATGAAGATACATGTATACACTTCCATGTGCTACCATTTTCATTGTTCTACCGTACTTTGTCGAGAAGTTACGAGCCATCATGATCATCAGACACCTCCCTCCCTTGTAGGCAAATATACTCGCCTGTGTATAAATCTATTTGTGAAATATCGTGAAAACTTTAGCCAACCAGCACCTGTATCGCCTGTTTTCTAATTCATCTAATAAAAATATGTAAGGATTTACACATTTTATCTCAGAGGTCAATAGTTTCACAAAATTTGTAGACCAGTGTTTTTATTTTGTCTGTATGCCAGTTTTTGGAGAGATTCCTGTGTTAAAACCAAAACCAGAATTGAGGCCAAAGCTCTCCAGCAGGTAGACATCAGTTTAACAGACAAGCAGTGCTACCCCTCCCTACTATATCCACAACTAAAAGAATACTGAATTTCCACTTTAATTTAACAGTCTAATACATGGGTAGGCAACCTTGGCACCCCAGCTGTTGTGGAACTACTAGTCCCATGAGTCATTGCAAGAATCTAACATCCACAGGCATGACTCCCAGAGGCAAAGGCATAATGGGATTTTTAGTGTCACCACAGCTGCCTAGGTCACTTACCCTTACCCTCAATTTATGTGACCTGGCGATATTCATTTGAATTTTTGGCATACATCGCATTGCATTTTAAAGAGTTCTCTGAAATACAAGCAGCTTTGACCCCCACCGTAAAGTCATGCAAAGAGAACCATCTAGCCACAAAGAGTTAAAGACAGCAGCTTGTACATACTTTGTCTTTTAAGACTGCCGGCTGCTTGAACACATCCCTGACATCAGGAATCTGATGATGCTTGTTTTTTTTCCTCAACGTCTGTGAGAAAGTATCAATTCTCTTTTGGACAGCTGCAGACTGAGTCTTGGTCAGAGTAGCTAACAACACCATGCTCTCCTGAGAATCAGCGGAACCCTCGCCAAATAGAGTGGACAGACCAGCTTCCTTGAGCCATTCTTCTTCCTGTTCTCCCTCTGAAAGACAGCACATGTCAGCATGAAAACACTAAGGGGTTTCATTTCACAAACTAAAGTATAGTGAATAAATACCCACTGACTCCAGAACTAATAATAAGATATTCTTTGTCACAAAAATGCATGTAAACTACATGAAAATATTTACCAGCTATTCCCACTGTGCCATTTTTAGACAATTGAATACAGAAGTTTTAGTGATTTCCCCATATAAAAGTAATGAAAAACAAAGGAATGTGATCAATGCTGTGTGTGTGTGTCAGTATTAAGCAGCTGTAACCTACTGGTTTCAACTAATTGTTAGAAGTTTTGCTCTTTCCAGTTGCATAGCAGGCAAATGTTTGGTGCCTATGCCAATCAAAAAGAAACCTAAACTAATTTTAATATATATTTAATGTTTTTTTTATTAGGGATGCACCGAAATTGCGGCCGGCAAAACATTTTGGCCGAAACTGGCACTGGAAAATCTAGTTTTTCACAGCTTCTCTTCTCCACACTTGGTGGCGGTCTGTCTTCTGATGCAGTGGCCAGCACCGAGCGGGGAGGAGAGAGGGTTTCAGGATGCCTAGCGGTGGGGAAGGAGATTGTTGTCAGCGTTGCAGGGGGCCGAGCTCTCCTCCCACACTTCCCGGCTATTCCTCCTGTGTCAGGATAGGGAGTGGTGCTATCGTTACAGGAGGCCGAGCTCTTCTCCCACACCTAATGTATCAGGATGGAGAGCAGTGAATGGAGGAAAGCTCTGTGATGTCACAGGAGGTGGAGCTCTCCTGCCGCACCACTCTGCCGATTAAGGATGGAGAGCGGAGTAAAAACATTGAAATAAGACCAATTGGAGATCCTTTAAAGTGGTTTTAGACCGGCTGGTCTAATTATAAAGTGAGCGGCCCACTGAGAGGGGTGAGCACCTGGGTAATAATTGGAGTTGGTGAATGGACGTTATATAAAGAACTTTCACTGTGGAAGAATAAATCTTGAGCACTTTATATGTGTGATTCCACATTTGTGCACATCTGAACACGGAATATATGAGTGAACTTTCCAGAATTATATTATTTAGGATTGATATTTACAAGAAAAGCAATTGTGAACACTTTGATTGCATGTGTTGTTTGGCACATATTTATTATAGAGATTTGTTTATTTATAGTTGAAGTGCAGCACATTATTATCATTTGATACATTTAAAGGGTAACAGTTCTTATAGTGCTTGCAGCTACACAGGGTTTGGCGCAAGGTGCTATTTGTCATTTGGAGTACAAACATTCGGCGATCAGCTGATTGCCAAATGTTTGTAAATAACTGGATATAGTAGCTCGCACTATGTACCAGTTATGGGAAGTGATCTACATCACTAACTGTTCATTCATGATTGTGGACACAGTAGCTCATACTATATCCACAAGTTATGAATGAACAGGAACACTCGGCATAGAGGATTCATGTTCATTTAGTGCTGGGGCTATTTTAAAAGGGAAATATCAGGGGTGTGTTTAGACCCATGATGTTTCCTTAGAGCCCCCAACAGTAAAGTAACAAAAAATAAAAATAAAATGAAAAAATAATTACATTTTTTTTAAAAAAGGTTGGGAAAAAAAACAAACATTTTTTGTTTTGGCCGGACAACATTTTTATTTTTGGTCTCAAAATTCCATTTCGGTGCACCTCTAGTCTTTATGGCTCTATCCACTAATGTTACTTTGCAATGTTACTTTGTTAAGACAGCCTATTCATTATGAAAGGGCTGCCAATGCAACACAATGTGTCAAAAAATGCACGTGATCCTTTTCTTAATAATGCGGTGTACCACAGCACACGGTATATGTGCATTGTTGTGAGCTGTGTTGGGTGGGGCATTGCACTCTACTGTGCAGTGTGTTTGAGAGTAATTTACAATGAATGGCACAACAGTGCACCACACAACACAGAGTAGTTGCAAAAATGAACAATAACATGCACATTGTCACAATGCACAAGTGTGAATGGGCCTTTCAAGGCATAAGACAGTAAACAAAGATTTGTTTACTCAACAAGTAATCAGAGTTACAGCTTACTCAGGGCTACGGACTCTGTGGTAAAGCACTGATTAGCTTAACGCTGTCACCAAGAAGGATTCACAAGCTACTATGTCTGGGGTATTTCCATTGGTGCTGAACAAATAGGTGGGAAGCGAATTAGGAAAGACAAGTATATGTTGGGGGTATATGCTGTAGGTGTAATGCAAACCTGTTTCTTTGCCCTGAATAGACAAAGTGCCGGTCTGCTTTAAAGCAATATTTCCCTTTGCTTACAGAAAGTGCTGCCATATATGAACTACAGCTTATAAGCAATTTACTGGTGCATTTGGATAAAAGCCCTGCACCCCCAAAACTTGGTTATTTCCTGCTGGATACCACCATTTTGCTTTTCTCAAAACATAGAGGTAAAGTTAAACTGTCAATTACAACCTACACATTTAAGACACCAATTGCCTACCTGTGACACTGCTCTCTAAGCCACTACGGGAGTGGTCACAGATGGAGATGAGGGCTTGGCTGTTGACTTTTATTAGAAAGTTGAAATTGGCATATAAAAAATAGCACTGTTTATTTTGCTGAAGTAGTATGTTTTAGGATAAGAAGTGCATTTAAAATGAATGGAACAGATTATTATGACAGTATTACTAATGTCTTATTATTAATACCTTATTACTAAGGTATTACAATGTTTAAATGCTTAGAAAGAGGGCACAAAGTCGAATGCGACCTAACCCTTTGGTTGCCGTGGGCTGGCTCGCTATATTGCTAATCCACCATCTTTATTTTTCACAGATACAATACAGACTGACTCTCAGATGTACAGTCTTTCACTGTGTAAAGATACAGATAGCGCCTAGTGGTAGTTCAGTAGTAAAAGGGTCCCTTAACAGGTGTGAAACTGATTAAAGACAGGTTGGGATTGCCCACAAAAGAGAGTATTTTCAAGTCCTACGCTACATGAGCAGCTTGAAGCTTAACACATAGAGAGCATGTGTCCAAGCCTGTCTAGTCTGAACAGACAGGTCGCTGTGCCAGATTGATGTCCAAGAGCAAGAGTTGAAGGTTGTGAAAGAGATAGTCCCCGTCTGAAAACATAGGTGTGTCTGAACTAGCCAAGTAGTAGTCTGTAGGTGAGCAGACAAGAGGTCCAGTCTGGTGTCTGATGTAACCAGTTCAACAGAGAGACTGAGGCAGTTCTGTCTTAAAGGAGCAATAGGCAGAGCTATGCAACAATGTAACAAAGAGGCTGAAAGACTTTTGTGGTGGTTGTTATACTAAACAACCCCTGCATAGACAGAACACTGTGTTACTTTGACACATAAATGAATAAAAGTGATTCACGAGCCTTCAAAACATACTCTACTCAGTGGACTGTGGCTCCTGCCGAAAGGAATTACTGAGTGCTGGAGCTGACAGGAGCAGCTATGCGGTCTGCATCAGACAGAGATGCAGATCGTGTAGCTGTTTCCACAAGTCAGGTACGGCGTACCTGACTTGACAGTCAGCTGCGAGCCGAATGGTAGCGGTTCGTGGGCCGGTACTTTGAGACTCCTGGAGTAGAGGTTGTGCGTCCCTCTACTCCCTGCCGCCCCAAGGCCATGGACTCGGTGGCCTTGTGGGGAATTCGGCCCTAGATGCAACCCAGCACTGTGGAATAGTGTATGCTTGCAGGATTTTCAATCCTTAACTTTCCCAGGATCCTAGGAGAAAGCCCAGTGATGTTAAGGGCACATACAGGATGCAGCTGAAAGCTTGGGTGCAAGGCAGGTTTTTTCA